ACCAAAGGCTAGATAAGTTCTATAAAACGTGTTTAAAGAGAAACAAAAATATTCCTTTATTACATAACGAGTTCAGAAAAAGGAAAGAAAACTATATTAGAGCGTAGAAATATAAAAACCACGAGGAAGAAACGTCTCACTGAAGTGAGTAGGAAACAGAGAGTAAGACTGAAAATTGAAACAACAGAAAGTTCTAAGTGCTGTTTGTTTTATTGGACATTTCCAATCGATAAGTAAGTGTGAAATGATAGAAAACAGCAACTGTTTTCGTGAACTCTGACGTATGAATGTTGCTATATAATATACGAATAAGCTCATTATATTACAAAACAGTGTGCACTTTATTTTTCTGAAAAATGAACACTGAGAAATTTTCGACGATAAGAAAATCGATGTGTTTTACTTGAACTTGATTGATTATTAATGAATGTTCTTAAAGGCACGAAAACAGAAAGAAAAACTATTACAAAGGATATGTTGTTATGTAGTGATCTGATACCTTCTGACCATAACCACGCCCTTGTTCAAATAACGAAACATAATTATTTGAATTCGTATTCTGCAATCTTCACATTCCAAATGCCATGGGATTAACTGGACCCGTTTCTATTCTTGAATTGAAATAGGTGTTTTGGAAAATTTGTATAAAAATTAAAATATACTTCAGCTATTAGAAAAACCTCTTCGCGAATAGTAAAGTAACTGTGGAATTTCAATTTAGATGCTGTAAAAGAAAAGCTGTATGCTAAACCCACCATACAGGAATATTAAATTGTTTCTCTCAAGGCTCTAATCTTGTAAAAAATAACAATATCTGTAATTAGAAGAAGAAGAAAAAATACCCAGACTAAACTGATCCTGTCAAATCAAAGAAGCTTGGCAATTTGTCTACTTCACAGAAATATATGGTTTGTTACAACTATTATCAGAAATTGCGCTTTTAATGTATCGTTACGTCTGTTCTTGATAAAATGGTCTGGATATAAGAGTATGCTATGTTTTTACAAGGTAATTTCTTTTCAGTTACTCTGTGCCGGGTGTGATCTAGTGGTTAGCTTGCCGGACTGTGAATACGAGGGTTCCATGGTTCGCATCCCGTTGCCTAAAATTTATATCCTGCACTTTGGGGTAGTGGATAATGGTCAAATAGCCCAAGAGTTGGCGGTGGGTGTTGTTGTCTAGCTACCTTCTCTCTAGTCTGTCAGTTCAAAATTAGGGACGACTAGAGCAGTTAATCTTGGCATAGCTTTACGCGTAGATCCTAAATAAATATATAATAATGTTTCTTATTGATTTCCTGTGTGTTGAAGTCGTGAATTTTCTTTCAAATCATTTATTGAGTTCTACAACACAATACTCAAAATTGTTTGAGAAAAACAATAATAACCATTGTCAAAGAACTTCTATGTATAACAATCATCAAACAACTAGTGAAATATGTTCCTGTATGTTTGTGTAAAGAGTTTGTAGGCATATTCCTTAAGCGAGGACTTTGCTTTTGGGTGAATAATTTGAGTTTGCGTGTAGTTGCAAGAACAGCAAAGATAACTTTAATATCATGTCAAATAATAAACTAAGGGGAGTAAATTTACACTATATGAACTAAAATCACTAGAAACCGTTAACACACACTTAACATGTTTTGGCAATTCTAATTTTTCATAAATTAAGAATGAAGTAGCTTTATGTAGAAGTTAACTTTAATACATATTTAAGGGAAACATTTCACTGCCATCGTACGATCATCGCAGTGTTTACAAACAGGTCCATAAAAGTGGCAGCCACTCCGGTTGTCAGTATTATATTTTTTCCTACTGTTTTTTAGAGAAGCATCAGTTCTATCATTCACATACCTAAATTAACATTTAGTTTTCAGATTTGGACCACGAGTTTATTCTATCTAATTTTTTTAATGTTAGTAATTCATATCTAATAAAAGCTTCACACAAAATAAAATTTAAAAACCAGTAAGACATGTAGTATAATTATATTATTTTGACGTTTATTGATGACATTGATTTGATAGTGTACACGTGAATTTTGTTACTTAGATGAGTTTATCATTATGTTGAGCTCAAAATATTCCTTTTGGATTATTCTTTAGTGGAGATCGTAACAGCCACTTTTCCTTTTCTGAAGCTCCACACACGTCTTGTGAAATGTGTAACGACCAGAATTCGTACATAGCAACCATCACACGCTTTAAGACTAATCTCATCTTCTGGGATATTATATTTTTTCCTGAAAGCTTTTACAGTCAATCATCATATTAATAAATCACGTTACTGACAACAAGTATAAAATGCTATCCAACATAAATGTTTAGCAACTGTAGTTTCAGAAGAGTACCAAGGTTGGTGAATGTATATAAACAAATTGTTCTTAACATATGACAGTAATTTTATTACTACATTTCGTCCTACAGACTGCCAATGTGAAATACCTCGCAGATTTCATAGTTAAGTAGTTTATTTTTAGCGCAAAGCTATACAATGGGCTACTTACGCTTTATTCACCGCGGGAAATCGAAACCCGAATTTTACCACTGTAAGTCATGAAGTTTATAGCAGACCAACCAGGGAACATATAGTTGATTAGTAATTAATATGTAAAATCGACACTTTATATAAACCTGTAAATTTCATTGGGTCTGTATATATAACTGTGTTACACACTACAAATCATGATTTATCAGTCTATATAAGAGTGTAAATTTAATTCTGCCTGTATGTGTAGCTTTACTACACACTACCTGTTGAGGTTTATCAGTTTATGTAAACCTGTAAATTTCATTGGGCCTGTATGTATAGGTATACTAGAATCCTAGATTGGATTTCTTATTAATTTATTAAAACGTGTAAACTTAATATATCTATATATGGAACTGTAAAATACCCTGTTTACTAGTGTTAAACATTAACTGTTTTATGTCTTTAGATAAGAGGACAAATTAACTTTATATGGCTCATTTTATATAAGTCGATAGCTTTGTCTTGATGTTGCTATGTCCTACAATTACAGTTTTTATTAGTTTCATATAGTTATACTTTGTCCTAAAGTCTATGTGTTTATCAGTTTACGTAAACACGTAAACGTTTCTTTGTATAGCTATATCATACCTAAAAAGTCATGTTTTTATATGTATATATATATATTTATATGCAGGTCAACTTATTGTTACGTAGCTTTACTGTATTCTGCACCTAACGATTGTATCCTTTGGCCACTTTTCAGTTGCATTAATTAACAATATTTTATTATATATTTAAGTTAATGTTCGAGATAGCCTAAGATTATTCATCTATCAATTTGTAACTTTAAAATAAATACAGATAAATTCATACATTATGATATTTGTAAGAGAATGAAAAAATTTTATCAAAAAATGAGCCTCAAAATTTAGTAGTGTTTAATACCAATCAACTCAAGCTACGAAATGTGCTACCTGAAAATGGACAAGTCAGTTATTTTACCTTTCCTTACGATCTTATTGTAAACTTAATTTGCTGGAGTTTCCTAGTTCTGGCACCCTGGAAATTAAAGCAATATTTAAATACACGCAAGCATTTTTATTTCTTAACACTTGTATTCGGTTACACTCACGTTATGAAACTATTATGCTTTTAAATACTATTTTAAACACTTAATGGCAATTTGTAGACAGAAAGCTTATAAAACAGAACTAAATATTTGTATGCGTTGGAATGAGACGTCACTTGCACGACGTATCATTACAGTACTCGAGCATGTCAAAATAATTTCTCAAATCCAAAAAAAAAAATCCTATCCTTGAGGTATTAATTTTTTACCATACTCTCTCAAATCCATAAAAATCCTATCCTTGAGATATTCATTTTTATCATAATTTCTCAAATCCATAAAAATTCGATCCTTGAGATATTCATTTTTTACAATACTTTCTCAAATCCATAAAAGTCCTATTCTTGAGGTATTCATTTTTACAATACTTTGAGCTCGCTGATGAATCAACAGAAAGATTGCGGACTCACATCTCTTAAAATTCACACCGCTTAAAACAAATAGCTACAACAGTTTAACTTGTTCAATTATTTTTATATGATGCTAGCTTTTTTGCTCACTCACATATAGTATTTGTAAACAACGCCTGAAATGAAATCTTAATTAGGAACTTATTTCTTAATTCACACGATTAATAAAATATTAAAATATTAAAATTCAATGAGAAATATTTATTTGTTTGTTATGGATTTCACGAGGGCTATCTGTGCCAGCCGTCCCTAATTTAATAGTGCAAAACTAGAGGGAAGGCAGTTAGGTATCACCACCCACCGCAAACTCTTGGGCTACTCTTTTTGCCAAAGAATTGGTGGAATAATCGTCATATTATAACGCCTCTACGACTGAACGAGTGAGCATATTCAGTGTGACGGGGATTCGAACCCGCGACCCGCAAATTGCGAGTCGAGCATCATAACCACCTGGCCCAATGAGAAATGAAATTATTGGCAAGAAACATTTACAATTTTCAAACGCTACAGAAAATAGACAGTCTGCGCTCTATTCAGCACGAGGAATCGAACCCCAAATTTTAGTCTTGTGAGTTTAGCTAAGACATTCAAGAAGAAACATGATATGAATAAAGTTGAAAGTTTTTTTTTAGTTAGCATTCTCCCACCATTATTATACTCACACCACGATATTTATAATTGTCAAGCGTAGAGTATGACTGGTGGGTCCTAGTGAATATAATAAGTAAAAGTGCGTGTTTGTAACAAAGTAGAAGGGTTACAACTGAATTATAAGGTGTTTCTGCAAGGTGATAGTATATATGTTTTGGATGATGGTTGGTGTCTGATATAGGGCAGTAGATATGTATCTATAGTTAGCATATGTTGAAAGTATTACAGTTTTATAAGGGTATGTCATGTGAAGGCTATCTGAGAAAAATGTAAGCCACTCTCGCAAATATATCTATAACTAAATAGGTACGATGATACATGATTGAAAAATATACTTACCAAAACGTAAACAGCAAAAGGCATGACTACAGCAGACACCAGAAGATCGGCAAAGGCTAGACTGACGATGAAGTAGTTGGTAGCGCTTCGGAGACTACGTTCTCGATAAACACTTAGAATAACTAAAATGTTACCAAAAACAGCAAGAACTGGTAGCAGAACAAGCAAGAGTGCCCAGTACCCTTTCACGACTTCAGAAACAGCTTCCGGAATTTCAACAGTTGAGGACAGTACCTCTGTCTGGTTGTCTATACGATTAGTCCAATTGCACTCATTTCCATTACCGACAACTGTAGAAAACCGACCTTCACTGTCCAGAGCCTCAGCAGAACCTAGCATAACCTCAGGCAAAGAATAAGTAATATTCGTTAGCCAGGTTTCGTTTAGCAAGTTAGAATTTGAATTCTCTTTAAAATGTCGTGATTGGTTTAAAGCAACATAGAAACCATCCGAAATAGATTTATTGGTAGACGGGACTTCGAAAAAGGACGATTGTTTTCCTTCATATAACCAAGGAACAGAGTTTCTTCTTGCTACAGTTTCATTTCTTTCTGATAATATCTCGTCCAGAGAAGCTGTAGAAGAAATGGGGATTACTGCAGTTCTGGCTTTTAGTCCTAATGATGCCATTGTTTATATTAAGAAGAACGGTGATTGTTGATTCAACGAACTGGCATCTACAGTTCGAAATAACTGAGAATGGAGTTTTTCATGTCGTTTGTTTAGCTATAACTGTACAAAATCTTAACTAATAACCAGTCGTTTACCTGAAAACAAATACGTGTCACTTTTTCTAATCACTATGTGAAACATACTTTCATAAGTTATATATATGAGCACTGACTAAATCTGATATAGATCAAAATTAATGTCTCTTGTTCTCTTTTTTTTGTAATATTTTTTGCGATACTTCACTAACAGTATTCGATCACTTAAGAAAAATCATTTAATTTTGACACTTTTTAAAAGTAATATGTTGATATAATGGTTGAGAACAGTGTCATTTTTCGTTTTATCTATAGTTTTTTAATACACCGATCGTTTGCTTAAGTGTAGCTAATAAAAATTACTTCAACCACGTTCGACTTTTAATTACACCTATTTATTTAGCTTGTTTGTTTCAAAGTTCTTCTTCTTCCAGAAAGCTCGAGGATAATCGGATCAACTTTCGAGTATAAGACCAATAAATGAAGATTTGTGGGTCTTTTATGTTCTCTTTTGACCGAAATATAATTAGTGTTCCCAGAGCTTAAAGATTCGTACAGTAACGAACAGAAGAAGCATTACTAGGATGAAATTGGGTGTTGGCTTGCACGATATTTCAAACCAGAAGTAAGAATAGGCTGTTGGAACTTGTTTGTTAGACTTGCATCTGAGCTTTCATCCCAGCTTACGGAAGAAATTCTGTAAAAAAAAATGAAAATACGTGTTGTGAAAATCGTATGAACATATTTAATTTAAATAAACAAATCACAGGCTTAAGATTAGTAAACAAAACAAAAATCATAACTTAATTTAATTCGTTGTCTTTCAAGCTTCTATTTTACCTTATTATATAATCACTCGGTACTCCAAATAAAATCAACATGGTACAGTTTAGGAGGTCATTTTTTAAGTTATGCTATGTATCTCCTATATCTTATGTTATGGTCAAATAATTATGTACCCAAAATAACATTTTTATTCTATTTATATGTGACCTCGGTAGGAGGCTATTTAGCAACCTCTATCCGTCATTTATCCGGAACTCTAAATAAGATCAACATGGTATAATATAAGAAGTCGTTTTGTAGTTCATGCTATGTATCTGATACCAAATAATCAACAACACGGAGTTTTTTTTTTATGTTCACGTTAATTTATAGGATTCTAATTTATAGGTTTCAGCTTTTCAATTACCAGAGCATGGTATAATGTGAGGTTGCTGTTCCTGTTTATAATTTGTGTAGCTTCGTTGGTAAAAATGTCCATTTTTATTTAAACTGTTTTTTATTTGTAAGAAGTAACAGCACTTTTATGTTGTTCTTAGAAGTTTCAAATACAGATATGTTAGTTTTTTATTGTTTTTGTGAACACGTTTCTATACTTAATATATTGCTTTTACGGTATGTTTATACTTAACTTATTTGTTCTTAATACTTTATTGTGTTCATTTGTTATTGCCATTATTACAAGCAGAATTTATTGGTGAAATAATACAAATAGCAATACATTTTTTAACTTTTTTATTTATTTGGGTCGGGAAAGGTTTAGTGGTCAGTCAGTTAAGCTACTGATCGAAAAGTTCGGAGTTTGATACGATATGCTACTAAACATACTATATACCTTCAGCATGTAGGTACGTTATAAAAATGACTGTCAATTCCTTAATTCGGTTGACAGAGTCCTTTTGACTGCCTCATACCTGAACCCAAGTATCTCTAATTTCGCATAAAGTATCGTTCACGTTCATTGTTAGTTTCTTTATTTATTCGATAAATGTTTGCGCTTCTTTTTTGTCACATGTAAATCTAACGTTAATTGGCTTTCGGCTGGGACAACGTAATACAAGTATCCAATACAGGAGATTGCTTTTTCAATGACCATAGCTAGTTGTTTTTCTTTAGTGCACTATCTGAACTCTGCGAAAAATCGAACTCCGTATACTTACAGCTGACCCCCCCGGGGGACTGGAATATAGAGAAAATAATACAATATTAACTTGACTGGGTAATATTGGTAGGACTATCATATACATGTAAATTAGGCGCATCTTTACATCAAAACTACTACTTAAAATAAGCAGAGCATCTTAAAACAAAATCTATATATTGTAAAAGTGTAAACATAACCTAACTGTTGTAAGACAAAGCATTGCTACTTGTGTCAGTACTACCAATGCTTTATTTCTTAAACTTAACACTATGAAGAAAGTGGAATACAGAGAGTAAAAGCGATCACAATGTTTACATATTGAAGATACTAGAGCCTTTTAAAACAGAGAAGCTAGAACTTTCAAAGTCCCTAGTAATACCCCTGATACACATTCCAAAGGACTACCGTAGGGTTATGATTGATTATTTCAGTCTAAAACTACAAAACATAAAGGTTAATTAAATTCCAGAAACTACGTACATTACATAGAATAGATTTAGAAAACTAATCGTGTTCTAATATACATCAAACAACTAATGATGTTTTATATTACTATATGGTAATTTAGTTAATTACATCATTAAATGAGGTAAGTTTCTTTAAACTTTCCTAAATGCTCAAATGAATCGAGATAGTTAAAAGTAAAGTTAGTTGAATAATTTTTTTGCATAGTGAATTACTATAATTTCTTATTTAAGATAACTAACTATGCATATCATGGCTAAAATAATTTTAAAATATCGTATCCATTAGTGAAAAACAATCTCGTATAGCAAACTGACTAGAAATACTTAATGTTATAAAGCAAAGCCCATTAAACCTAAACCTATAATGATTAGAATGGATTGAGCCATTAGTTGGGTATCCTTGCTGCTAATTATATTTTCGAGCGCAATCCCCTTAATATCTCAATATGTTTTGGCTAGATTATAAGATTTAGATTAATCCTCAGTTCTACACGGTTAGTCAACAATGCAAAAGAATCCTTATAAATGTACTAATAATTAAAAGCATTAATGATTTTGAATATATGTTAGATATTACTTTTGTTTTTCACCAGGAGTGAAATTGAAAAGAGAATCTTTGACGTAGAGGCCTAATGCATTCTTTGATTCGCCAAACCCTCTACTGTGTGTTACAGTTTGTGTGTTCAAAGCTCATCAGCACAGCTTGGGTTAGCAAACCAAATAATTACCATTAGGCCTCTTATAATGGTACATTGCATATAATATCTATATCACACAGTCACTCTTCAATTTCACCTCTGGTGTAAAAGAAAAGAAATATTTAACATGTATATATATACACACTCATTAAACAGTTGTCCCGCTGCAAAATATCGAATGTTGAATTCGACGAAATGTTGTAACGTTATTCACATACCTAAATTATGTTACTATATGGTAAAGTAAAACGTACTCAAAAACCAATAGAAGCATTAATAATTATTTAAAGAATAAGATCAACAAAATTAAAACTAATTATATGTAAAGCATTAAAAGTAAAGAAAAATCGTATTATAGTGTTCACTCCCGACTCGTATGATATTTTACAAGATCGCGACATAAAACTTTGCAGACTATGTAAAATTTGGCTGCATTTCTCAACTGTCTTTCGTTTCTAAAAATAAACCATTTATGTTTCCACCTTGAACATCAACTAATACTTGAACAATAATTACTCCACCCTTTTGATTTTACACCATATTACACAAACACATACATATAGAATGACTGGAAAAAATTTAAAGCAAAACTCCTGAACATTATATAATATCAGGATATCAGGAATTTATGTTCGTTGGTATATTATCTGATGTATCGAATTCTTTAGTAGTTATTACTGTATCAAGAAAACGGTACACATATTTTGTTAACTTACTGTTTATTAAGATTTTTTTTTGTCTTTCATGATAAGACTCAAGAGATAGATACATTTTTTTAATATTTAAAATAAGTCAATATGATTATTTCAAAAAAAAGAAAGAAAATTAGTCAACATGTAGCGAACCGTTGGAATTTACTGAAACTGTTAATCTGCCTGCCGAACTAATGGTTAGATGAGGTTTCAATTCATTTCCATATATCTTCATCAGGTCTGATATGTTACCTTGATAAATCCTGAGCATGTTAATCAATTATTACAGATTTACTGAGCTAATTAATAACTTAGACATGATACAGAGACAATAAAATCGATTGAAACGTCATCTCACGCCAACTTGTCAAGCTGGTTATCAATTTCAGCAACAACTTTCAGTGAACCTTTACACTATTTATAAGTACATATTTTGCAGCTAATATTTTTTGGAACTTATAAATGATTTAAAATATACTATTTAGATGTGTGTAATTCGGTAAATAGCGTATAGAATTTCTTGCGACAATCTTACAAAATATGACATAAGATCACGAGTTCTTATAAATCAATAGATATTTACTCGTTCGATGAATGACACATTTTGTTTTAAAAATTTCAAGATAAGTTTGAGGGAGAGTGAGTGTCATACCCTTTCAGGAAAACAGAGTTCCAAGTTTTTCCTGATTGGTCTTCAAATATTTTATAATTCTATCCGAATTATTGCATTATGCAAGGGCTAAGTAAGTTATATTAGAAGGATTTCGAATATGCAACTCAACAAGTAATGTGACAATCACAGAAGATACAAAGTATCAAGACTAGGATTTGAAATTTTTTGGCGTTTAATACGTAGTGTGATACCACACAATTTATCGCTTTTGTGAAAAGTGTGGCATTTATAACAGATGAGAATAAACAAACACAAAATTTAGTGGGGAAAAAACAGTCCATTCCAAGCAATAGTATATAATATAATCCAGAATGAGTTCAATCTGGAAATGAGGCCAAAAGAGTAGGGACTCACCAAGATAAGGCTTCCAGTCAACCTTTAAATACCTCAGGCAGCTAGAAAATGAAACCAGTATTCATGCTATTCTATATGATAAAATCGTTGGACCTCAGCGCCTGTGAATTTTTGTGCAATCGGCCCATTGAACAAACGCTGGAAAATCGTCATCCTCCTATGCTAGATGGATTATGAAAAGCCAGCAGGAAGTAATGGTTCACGTGGGACATGACAGTTTTACGACGGAGAATTTTCAACAGAAAATACTCTAAA